ATATTATTAATAGTAAAAGTTTGTGAGGATGGATGGATGTTTGTTACTCTATCACGCCAGTACGGCTAAACAGATCTGGATCAAATTTGACATAGATATAGATTATAGTCTGGAATAACACATATGTAGGTTATTTTTATGACGGAAAAATGTACGGTTCCCGTGGGATAGATTTGTATGGATTTAACATTCTCGCAAACTTGTTTTCTGGGATCGATAATTAAAGTCATTTGTAATATAGATGCAGATATGAAATTTTATTGTGAAAAAACAAAATTCTGTTCCTAAAATAATATCAATTAGAATTAATGTTAAATTAAAACTATGTTACGAGAGAAAATTGCTATAAAATGTATAAAATAATAATTGTTTTGAGTTATTTGGATTCAGCTGATTGTTTATAACTTGTTTATTCGATTTTAGTTGCCAAAATAGTTATTTATTTTTGTAGACTTGTATATTCTTAGAAACCGTTCACGTTTAAATATTTCTGTTTAATTTAAAAATGACATTTCTTGTATATGTTTAGAAATTTGAAATTGATAAGCTGTAATTTTATTAATGAGCAAAATTAACTAAGTCAGTAAAATAATAATAATTGTAATTAATTATTAATGTATAAAATGTTCTTTGAAAATTTAATTAACTTTAAGCGAGATCTTGAAATACGTGAAGCTAACGCAAAATTACTTAATTGCTTTTATAAATCTCATAACGAATTAGTACAAACCGTTTAGAAATATATATGTACTAGCATTGCCCGCGGCTCCGCCCGCGTTCACATGACCAAACACCAAATTCTTAGGTTTTACATATTAGTATACTCTTACATTGCAGTTTTTGTATTTTTTCTTAGAAATGAGATATTTTCCCGCGGCAAAAAGGATCCTATATGTTGAACCGGATAACCAGCTATCACCATACCGAATTTCATCCAAATCCCTCCAGTGGTTTTTCTGTAGTGCCGTAACAGACAGACAGACAGACAAAAATTCTAAAAACTATAGATTCGGCCTCTGTATCGATAATAATGTGTATTTCAATAGAATTTTCCAAAAAATATTTAATGTACAGCTTCGGCTTGGTTACAATTTTATTATATGTATAGATGTATATAAGAATTTTTGCATTTATACTTTACTAGCGACTTACGCTCACTTCGGTGGGGTGTGTTCCTCGGTGCATTATAAATATAAAATAAATAAATATAGTTATTGCGAGTGTACCTTAGGATATAGGATAAATATATGCTATTGCAAACTTTTCTCTAGGCCTTTTTAAGATCTACAATTCTCTAGTACCTACATTGTTTTCATGTATCTCTTAAGGTTTAGTATTAAGTAGTCCTGTATGTCTACAGGTGGTATGTGTAAATCCCAAAATTAAAAAAAAGGGTTTAACATGGTTAGCCATCTAAGGGCGACTAGACAGAACCAGTTATTGTGATTTCCCGTGGGGAAAAAAAGTTTTTTTTGTAGTAAAAGGTATCCTAAATGTCGACCCGAGTAATAAATTATCACTACATAAAATTTACTGAAAATCGATTCAGTACATTTTGCGTGAAAAACACACACATATACAGACAAACAGACATTTTTTTTAATAAGTATATGATTAATACTTATTGTTAGAGTTAAATAGATTTACAGAATTACAAATAAAGCTAGCTTCGCCATACGCAACGACATAGAAGTATAAATCCAAAAACTATTTTTCAATTTGTGTATTTTCAGTTCTGGATTTAAATTTTCAATACAGCAAATATGGCCAGTGTTTTTATAAACTGGGTCATGTTCATGGAGTTCACATATAAAAAAACCTTTTACTTTTTCCCGCTTGCTAGTGAATTGCAACGTGATGCATATTTGAAAGCGGTCTTTTATTCTTCATTTAATGCGCAAGGTCATGCTGGCGCAGATGTTTTACTGCAAGTTGACGCGTCAAGTTTCGTTTGAAGTATTTTATATACGCAAGTACCATATAATTAAAATGATTTTTTTTTAAATTATAAAAAATGTTTGGCTATTAATTTTAATGCCACAACTCAGACTAAACTGTTATATAGACGTAGCCCAGCAAAAAAAAGTCAAATTCAGAAATAGGAGCGTGTTTCGCTGTTTATGCTTCTATTCTTGATTTTACTATATACTTAAAGAATAAGGAAAATTTTATATAAGTATTAGTCGTTAATTAACAATTTTTGAGAAGATTGAATATGATTAATTAAAATAAATTGGCAGTGGTAGCCCAATGGTAACGCGCTCGCTTGGAAAACCGAGTGAAGCGAGTTCAAATCCCGGGTCTCGCACCTCTGATATTTTCATGTGCGAATCATTTCCAACATGATTACCACTTGTCTTAACGGTGAAGGAAAACATCGTGAGGAAACCTGCATGTCTGAGAGAACTTAGCAAGTTTTCAAAAGACATGTGAAGTCCGCCAACCCGCACTTGGCCAGCATGGTGGACTATGGCCTGATTCCCCTCGTACTGAAGGGAGGCCCGTGCCCAGCAGTGGGACGTTAAAAAGGGCTGAATACATTTTAAATCATTAGTCAAATCCTATATTGAATCAGAATCAGCGGTAACAGGTACGTATGTATGTAGGTACATATTTAGAGATATTTAAGCCTTCATAATACAAAACTCTGTTTGTCAATTAAATATGGTTCTACAAGTTTTATATAAAAACATTGACGACGAAGCTCGTATAATGATCTCAGTCACGATATATTGAAATAATTATGAATGTTCAAGTATACTGTATACAGTTTCAAAATAAATTTAATAAATATAAATCAAACTAGCGACTCACTCTCGCTCTGCTCGGGTTCATTCCTAGGTACGTTTTAACGGTTAGTATAGATTTTTCAGAGAAGAGACATTTTCCCGCAGTAAAAAATATCCTATATGTCGACCCGGATAACCAGCTTTCATCATACCAAATTTAATCAAAATCTGTCTAGTGGTTTTCTCATAATGCATTTCCTGACAGCCAAACAAAATTTTAAAAACTATAGAATCGGCCTCTGTATTGGTAAAAATGACTATTTCAATGAGATTTTCCAATAAAAATATTTAATGTACAGATTCGACTCAATTAGAATTTTATTATATGTATGGATTATAGATATAAAATCAATAATGTTAAAAAAGTAGCATGCCACTTTCAATTATTTAGTAGTAGAAATCTCAAGAGGTATTGAATTCTTAAATATTTTAATCGTAAACCTATTTAATATTTAAAATTCAATCTTTTAATTTACAAGCTCTTGGAGAAAACCTTGTTTTTTGTATTCGACCTTGACGTCAGAAAAGCTTCTTATAGACGTTGTATTTGGCCGGCAGCGATTAAGATGTTATTCTATTATTTCCAAGTTGTGCTTCAGGCGACTTGAACCACTATTGTTGGTCAAAAAACAAAAGCATAAGTTTCTTACTTAGTTGAAGCTTAACAGTTATTAAGAAAATAATTACTTATTCTCCAAACATTTAGGTAGCCTTATATTACTTGACCTTTAAAGATTAAAATTGATAGCTTACATTAACTTTTTGTTATATTTTAAGTAAATTAGATATTAAAAAAGTAGGTAGATATTAAAAATAAATATGGTAATAATCAGTGAGTTAGATATATGATTGTACTATTATTATAAATACGAAAGTTTTTTTGTATCTTTGGTTTGTTACTCTTTCACCCTAAAACGGTTGGGTGGATTTAAATGAAAATTAGTATACAGATAGACTATGACCTTCTTTTTGTAGTGATAGTTTCTTATGGGAGGGTAAACCGCAGTGCCGGATTGACCCATAGCGCTGGCCCTGGGCATAGTAAAAAATGCCGCCCTATTATCGAAATTTTGAATAAAATGTTGAAATTTTTATTTTTTTTAATTATTATTTTCTGAAAAACGCAATGAAATATTTTATAAATGATATCAATTTTTCGAAAAATTTACTCACTAGTAATCACATATAATATATATATATATATAATATAAGATAGATAGATTAAATAACAAATGCTAGTCTTACTCACCCACCGAGGGTTTCGTACCAGAATAAAAGTATTTTGTTTTAATTCACGCAATTTCGTAAGGTAAATGTAAATAAAATATTATTGGCAACAAAAATAAGTTTGTATATATTTCTTAAGGTTACTGTAAAATTACACAACTTATACCTAACCGAAAATGTCCCATGGCTCCAAAACTATTTAATGTATCAATAAATTCAATGGGAGACCTTAAAAGCGGTCCTGTCAAAAATACCGTCAGTAGGTAAATTAGGGTACGATAAAGTAATATGAATAAAAATAGACGTACTATTCGAATATTGTCTATCTTAAATATCTATCCCATATTGACTTTACATGGTTGTTTACATTATATCAAAGTTGGAAAAAGATTATTATCATCGTAACAATCGAAGAGAGCCCAGGGTCAAAGCATTGATATGATTTTAATGGCATTTTGAAACTATTTATAGAATACTTAAATGCTTTTTTTATTAGATGCTATAATAATTTCGTAGGAAATACAATTTCCGTGTCAAAGTAACTAAAGCTGTAATGCCAAGATGGTCGTAAAACCAGACTTCAGCATCTGCGTGACGTTAATACATTTAGCGTCCCACGTGGTTTGATACATATCCCTACAAAAATTTTATATATCAAAATATATATATACTTTTAAATTTAAATTAATGCAACTTAATATAATACTTTTACTTTTTACTTTATTAACTAAGTATATATTATTTTATAAAATATTATCGCACAACTCTCCTATAAACTAGCACAATATATCAAAGTCTCAATTCACATTGATTAAATGTGCTCTATAATCTACATGCATTTTATATTATGAACATATCACGTACATAAGAACTCTAATCATTTACATTATACATGCAAATATCGATTTGTGTTATACGTGATACTATAACAGTTACAGCACTTTAACTGTCAAAAGTGACAGGTTAAGATGTCACTCTACTAACCTTGTTGACTGCATCGATATATGCGCCCTTCTCCAACAGTAGTTCTACGACAGCTGTGTGCCCAGCTCTGGCTGCGAGTGCGAGGGGGGCGTCGCCCGTCGTGTCACATCCCTGCACTTTAGCTCCGAGGGTTAAAGCATAAATTGCAACGTCCTTAGCTCCACGTGCGCACGCGCATTGTAGAATGTCGTTGTTTTTCTGTTGAATAGAACATGAGAAATAACCGTTTCTAAGTAATATTTGCAATGTCAGACCAATAATAAAGTACTAGTAATTTTTTATTGGTCTGAGTGTATGACACCTAATCCTTCTACTATTACAAACGCGACAGTATATAAGGTTGGATGTTATTTCATGTAGAAACTACTAAACGAATTTTAATAAAACTTTACGGTAATGTAGGTTATATGTTAGGGTAATATATTATATGCTATAATTTATAATGATAACATAGTAAATGAAATATGCGGGTGGAGTCACGAGAAAAATAAAAAGCATATTTTTTTTATCTGCAACAGTTATTAAGTCTATAAAAGTCGATTCCTGCACTCTAAGAGGGTGGAGTGAAACAAAAGTTTAATCTTGTAAAAGTTTATGAGTTAAACTTGAAAGGTCACATGTAAATACATAATAATAATCATAAAATTTGGCACTCAAATATAATAGGGCATGACGCATCCCATGTTCGTAATAAAGTAGGGGAAAAGATAACGTAGCGTAACGATGTCATTCATATTCTCGAGTTTTCATATTTATGAAAGAAAGTAAATTTTCATCGACAATAATTTTTTTTTTAATATGATTATTAAATTAAAAAAATTAAGTGGACTATTGAAACGAAAACATAGTTATTTATTATCTATCCGGCATTATTTTAGTTGACTAAATGATTTTCTAAAATTTATTTAAAAATTTATTCAATTTTATTTAAAAAAATAATAGTTAACGATTTATTTAATTATATTTCTATAAATCATTCATTAAAAAAATAAACAACGCCATTTGTTTCTATTTAAATAAAGTACGGGACGCGTTATCGATAACAATCTTTACTCGACACGTCTGTGGTGTTTTCTATGCACTCATGGGGTTATCGATCTGGCTCATGGGAGATTCGATCGAAAGTACCAGGGAAGCATACCTTGTTAGTAGCAGCGAGACAAGCGCCCGCGTGCACGAGGGTTTGCACAGCCGCGAGGTGTCCGTGCCACGCCGCCATCAAAAGCGGCCTCATACCGAACTGTTATAAAATATTAATATTCAAAATATATTTCTAAATCGTAATAAGAATTAATGAAATATATTATTATAATCTGTGTTTTTTTTTAATTTGAATTCTTAATTAAATTAATATTTTTTTAAATATTTAAAATTACTAACAAAGGAGATGCTGGGATTATATTAAAAATAAAAATGCGTTACTACCTCGTTGTTCTTTATCCAAAAAAAACATTGTTTTTAGAACTTACAATATTATGCGGAAATATATACATACCTACATGCTTCATTATAGTAAAAATAGCTATAAGTAGTTATTAAACAATAATTAATACAAAATGTTACTTTATGTTTAAAGGTTCTGTAATGTTAATAATTATATTTATTTAATAATAAATATTAATAAATTAGTCGGAGTAAATAAAAAAAATATTTAATCAGATATAGGTATAATATATAAATACCTATGTACATTTTTTTTTCATGTATCTCGAAAACGGCTCTAATTTGTAGGTTTTGCTTTTTAAGTTTATCTATATAGGTAGGACTTTTTTTTAAAAAAAACGCCACGTTTGCATCTTTTCCAAAAAAACACCAAACTAAGCTCGGTCGTCCAAACAGGTACTACACATATAATACATATACTTAAATCTTTAAAGCAAAATACCTTATCCACAGCTTCTATATCACATTTGGCGTGTATGAGTAAATTGATTATCTCGACGTTGCCTCTACTCGCCGCCCAGTGGATGGGAGCCCGGCCGTACTGTAACAAATAGATTTTAGTTCATTAACACCTCCAGGTAAATTTCTAAGAAATTAATTAAATTTCTAAGAAATCTATTGTTAACTGTAACGCCGGCGTGTCCGCGGTCGTTGAGAGATTAAGCGTAAATAAAGTACGTTTCATTTTCTCGAAATCTTCAATAATATAATAACAGATTGTGATTTGTGAGTGATCATTCTTATAACATTTAAAAGTCAATTTCAGTGCTTCCTTTACTTTTGGGATATGTATATTTAATAAGCATAATCCTATAATAGGTTGAGATCAAGTTTTTTTAAAAATGTGTTTCTGTAGGAGATGAAGAGTTCTCAAGGATACCGCTTATTTACAACTAAACTATTAGTTTCAAATAAATCAATTTCGACATTTGGTCCTATTATTTTATTCAAGTTAATAAATAGTGTCGATCTATACTAATATAATAAAGAGGTAAAGTTTGTGAATTGTGAGTTTGTGACGTCGTAGGGGTTAATCTCTGGATCTACTGAACCGATTTATATGAAGTTTGGTAAGAAGATTGTTTGAGACCCTGGAAAGGACATAGAATACTTTTTATCCCGGAAATCATCCCTTAAGGGGGTGAAAATGGGGATGAAAATTTGTATGGGGAATCAACCGAGGGACGAACCCGAGCGAAGCGAGGGTGAGTCGCTAGTAAAATATAAGATGCAATTAAAGATATTGAATACTTCATTGAAGCCTCAAATTAAACAGTATGTTCCTAAAGCCACAGAATCATTAAAATAATCTCATGATATTTGGCTAGCATTATCTTTGAATTTCAGAGAAACACGTGTTACATACTCCTTTTGTACATGTAAATTGGGTCTTGGCAAAGAAGTATCAAGTTTCCAGTGTAAACTTATTTGATTCTTAGTACAGTCTACAGATAAATTAAGTTGTATTAAGAGCAAAAAAAGCTTTGGATACGTTTTTTACCCCAAAAACAAAATTCGGACCATATGGTGTCCTCAGCTACCATATCTGATCCGAACGATACGAACCTGTTAAACTTGAATTGAACATATGTATAATAACGTAAAATGCAACCGCTTTACGATGTTGCTATATTTATTTAGAGTTATTACTTAGATAGACTTGTCATTCTAATAGCCATGTCGGGATAACGCCTATAAATAAACAGTTATATGACCAAATTATGGCGTATCACGAAAAACCTAGGCAGAACCATCAGGCTCTGACTTAATATATCAATATGGACTGTGACTAGATATTATAAAATAAAGTCCGCCCGCCGTCTGTCTCTCTATCTGAACGCAATGAACTGAAAAACCACCTAACGGATTTTCATACCGTTTTCACCGATAGACGGAGTGATTGATGAGGAAGATTTAAGTATATAATTCATTAAGGTTTAGTGTAAATTCGTTGACATATGGCGATGTGTTGGATATGTCAGATAAAATCATGCCGACTGGGAGCTCTATTGGCGTGGCGTAAACCAATAATTTTTTTATGAAAACAATGTATTACGGAATTATTCCACTTAAAAGATCTATTAAACTGTAGCAACGTTATATGTACGTGCCTACTCGGGGGACGTACTCGAGCGAAACAAAGTAGTGTAAGTCATTAGTAAAGTAATATTTTTGTAGCAAATTTGTTACATGTGAATATAAATTGTACTAATTAACCATGTATGAATGCACGAAATTATAGGCACCGATGTAAAGTTTATATTATATAACTAAAACAAAATGAAATAGAAACAAAGTAATTTGCCTTAGATAACAGATACTATTTTAATTCACAATTGTTACGGGTCAATGAATCAGCAAGCACCCCTCTAAAGTCTTATAAGACGAAATTTTTACGGAGTCATATCTTTTAAGTTAGACGAGACGGCATGTGAGATTTATTGTTATGGGAATGTACCTAGTCTATTATTAAATTTTTAAACTTATACTTCTTTTAGCACGTTTGGAAAAAAAATGAGAGTAAATTTTTTACATTATGAGAGTTAAAAAGCGACATGATGAAGTTAGCTGCATTCCTTTTACAAGCAGAGAGTTGTGACATACGGGATGAAATCTTTAGCTATTTTTGTTCTGTTACGCCAAAGAAATATAACTTCTTACGCGCGTACATAAGTAGGTACACACATACGTTTTTTTATTATCAAGTTTAAGATCATTTATTTTTCAAATAATTATAAAATTTTTCAAGAATAATACAATTAACTTACATGAAAAACCACATTAGCTAAAGCTTAACTTAACACTATTGGTTACATCGCTGAGCCCCAAATCTCCAATAAATTATCAAAGTGTGGTTTTATAAGGGAATTATATATAATATAGGTACAACACGTGGCAAAAATCGAACAATACTCCTTATAGCACCCATTAGAGAAGTTAATTTCGCTTCGATTTTTTGAATATGTGGATTCCATGTATTGTCTAAAATTATGCCTAAACTAGCATTGTCCGCGGCTCCGCCCGCGTTCAGATGACCAAAACCCAAATTCTTAGGTTTTACATATTAGTACACTCTTACAATGCAGTTTTTGTATTTTTTCTCAGAAATGAGATATTTTCCCGCGGTAAAAAGTATCCTATATGTTGACCGGGATAACCAGCTATGACCATACCAAATTTTATCAAAATCTGTCCAGTGGTTTTCTCGTGATGCGGTAACAGACAGACAGACAAAAATTCTAAAAACTATAGATTCGGACTCTGTGTCAATAATAATGTCTATTTCAATTTATACATTATTATTATACCACATGTATTATATATTGTGTTTAAATTTTTACAAGCTTTTCATATATTTTAAATTGTTTTTCAATAGAAAAACCGATAAATAGGCTTGGCTATTTTTAACCGACTTTACCGACGTACCAAAAAAAAACTATTAATATACCTATAATAAGAAAACTTACGTTATTCCTACAATTAACATCAGTAGGCCGTTTCAGTGCTTCACGGACAGCGTCAGGTTCATTTTTGATGACTGCCTCATGTAACAGGAGATCGTTCTGTTGTACTCGTGACCGGCATTCTGTCATCTTTAACAAAAAAGTATAATAAAAATTATGACATACAAAAAATATAGAAATCAAGAAAGCAGAATAAAATGAATGAAAAATTTATAGTAGATAATAAAATTAAATTATAATATAGTTCTCATTATGTATATATTTTCATTTTCAATCAATGTGCCATTTTTGTATTACGTTATTATTTTATTAGTGTTGCAGGTTACTCATGTAGACCGATCATTAATTTATAATTTTAATTCTACATTAAAGTTACCAAATTACCGCTCAATCTCATTCGTGTCTTCCTCCATATAAGCCAATAAAGAAAAAAAAAATGAATGTATTTGTAAGAAATGATTTAGTATCGTAAATCTCGTGTCGTACATTTTGCTGAACTAAAATTCCCTTGCTACATATTATGTTAACCAGATAATCATATGTGGAAATAATACACTGTGTAAGTATTATATATTTTTATTATACAAAAAATTTTTTTTAGATTTTTTAGATATTTTTTTAATTTTTGGCATATTAAATGGTAGTAAAATCGTTAATAATTTGAATGGAATTAACCGATTTCTGTTTAATTAACCAGAAAGTTAGAAAGGTAGACAGAATCTTATTTACAAAGATTCACACGTCAATACGGATGTTTTTACATTATCGTTTACAAACGAACAAACAGAGAGAAGTTCACACGACACCTTGCCATTCCTGAAAAAGACGAAATGCCGTAGTTTTTTTTACAGCAATCACTCCGAATAGAAGCAAAAGTGTAGTAGGTTTTCTTGAAAAGTCCCATAAGTATACGTATAGTAAGTACATTTGTCCGGTGTATGTTTGTGTTATGTACTATAAAGAATGTGTGAGCTGTTATAAATACAATGCATACCTATTAGCGAGCCAGTGGCCGTGTATTATAAAAAAGCCCCAATTCCGTTTAGAATATCTCTTATATATACTAATAAATATAATTAAAGTGTCTGTTTGTGAAGTCACAATAACAGTTTTCTACTAAATGCATATGAAATTATATACCTACGGTACTTATGAGAAAAACCCAAATTTTAAATTTTTTATCTGCCCGTCTGTCTGTTTTTCCGGTTTATCTCCGAATCGGTGGGAACGATTTTCATTGGCAGATAGCTGATGTTATAAGGAGTAAGTTAGGCTACTTTATTTTAGAGAAAGAATTAGGGTTCCGCTTAAAAAAAAACGTACCTAGGGACGCACCCGAGACGCGAAGACTAGGTAACTAAATTCGGCGGCAGTCCATATGCGCCACACAGGTAAATCAGGTAGAAAATTTAGACCAACTTCAAAAATATTTGATCAAGTCTGAGTCTGTTTCATTTGGATATTTCTATATTAACTATTATTAAGGTGTGTTAAGATAGCAGTGAAAGGTTAGCAGAAACGTTCGAAACATATACGGTATTTTGTGGCTAATTTGTTGCTAATTAGTTGCTAAAACCCTGATTTTGTTGCTTTGTCCGATTTCGAAAAAAAGGAGTTACTGCTATCTTAACGTTAAGCTAGCAGTAAACTCAGCGGGACCGGCATGGATTAAATGCAATTAAACATCAGTATTTGTTGCTAATTTGTTGCTGACAAATAGTGTAAAAAAATTTGAAAAAACCCAAGAATTGGCTAGACCTGGAGACCTGTAGCCGTATCCATGCTATCTTAACATGCAGTTTTTTTAACAAGACGATGGCATGGATTTTGTTGCTGGACGCAAATAACATCAGGACACCCCAGAGAGCCAGCAACAAAATAGAAACTAAAATTCTGCTACACCTGGAGACCTGTAGCCATGTCCATGCTACCTTAACATGCACTTTTTTTAACAAGACGGCGGCATGGATTTTGTTGCTCATCGTAAATAACACCAGGACACCCCAGAGAGCCAGCAACAAAATAAAAACTAAAAATCTGCTACACCTGGAGACCTGTAGCCGTGTTCATGCTATCTTAACATGTACATTTTTTATGAAAACGATGACATAGATTTTGTTGCTGGACGCAAATAACATCAGGACACCCCAGAGAGCCAGCAACAAAATAGAAACTAAAAATCTGCTACACCTGGAGACCTGTAGCCGTATCCATGCTATCTTCACATGCCCTTTTTCTATGAAAACGATGACATGGATTTTGTTGCTATTCACAAATAATATCAGAACACCCCAGAGAGCCAGCAACAAAATAGAAACTAAAAATCTGCTACACCTGGAAACCTGTAGCCGACTACAAGTGCTCATGCTAACTTAACGTGCACTTTTTTTAACTAGACGGGGGCATGGATTTTGTTGCTCATCGTAAATAACACCAGGACACCCCAGAGAGCCAGCAACAAAATAGAAACTAAAAATCTGCTACACCTGGAGACCTGTAGCCGTATTCATGCTATCTTAACATGCAGTTTTTTTAACAAGACGATGGCATGGATTTTGTTGCTGAACGCAAATAACATCAGGACACCCCAGAGAGCCAGCAACAAAATAGAAACTAAAAATCTGCTACACCTGGAGACCTGTAGCCGTATCCATGCTATCTTAACATGCAGTTTTTTTAACAAGACGATGGCATGGATTTTGTTGCTGAACGAAAATAACATCAGGACACCCCAGAGAGCCAGCAACAAAATAGAAACTAAAAATCTGCTACACCTGGAGACCTGTAGCCATGTCCATGCTACCTTAACGTGCACTTTTTTTAACAAGACGGCGGCATGGATTTTGTTGCTCCTCGTAAATAACACCAGGACACCCCAGAGAGCCAGCAACAAAATAGAAACTAAAAATCTGCCACACCTGGAAACCTGTAGCCGTGTTCATGCTATCTTAACATGTACATTTTTTATGAAAACGATGACATAGATTTTGTTGCTGGACGCAAATAACATCAGGACACCCCAGAGAGCCAGCAACAAAATAGAAACTAAAAATCTGCTACACCTGGAGACCTGTAGCCGTATCCATGCTATCTTAACATGCAGTTTTTTTAACAAGACGATGGCATGGATTTTGTTGCTCATCTTAAATAACACCAGGACACCCCAGAGAGCCAGCAACAAAATAGAAACTAAAAATCTGCTACACCTGGAGACCTGTAGCCGTATTCATGCTATCTTAACATGCAGTTTTTTTAACAAGACGATGGCATGGATTTTGTTGCTGAACGCAAATAACATCAGGACACCCCAGAGAGCCAGCAACAAAATAGAAACTAAAAATCTGCTACACCTGGAGACCTGTAGCCGTATCCATGCTATCTTAACATGCAGTTTTTTTAACAAGACGATGGCATGGATTTTGTTGCTGAACGAAAATAACATCAGGACACCCCAGAGAGCCAGCAACAAAATAGAAACTAAAAATCTGCTACACCTGGAGACCTGTAGCCATGTCCATGCTACCTTAACGTGCACTTTTTTTAACAAGACGGCGGCATGGATTTTGTTGCTCCTCGTAAATAACACCAGGACACCCCAGAGAGCCAGCAACAAAATAGAAACTAAAAATCTGCCACACCTGGAAACCTGTAGCCGTGTTCATGCTATCTTAACATGTACATTTTTTATGAAAACGATGACATAGATTTTGTTGCTGGACGCAAATAACATCAGGACACCCCAGAGAGCCAGCAACAAAATAGAAACTAAAAATCTGCTACACCTGGAGACCTGTAGCCGTATCCATGCTATCTTAACATGCAGTTTTTTTAACAAGACGATGGCATGGATTTTGTTGCTCATCTTAAATAACACCAGGACACCCCAGAGAGCCAGCAACAAAATAGAAACTAAAAATCTGCCACACCTGGAAACCTGTAGCCGACTACAAGTGTTCATGCTAACTTAACGTGCACTTTTTTTAACTAGGCGGGGGCATGGATTTTGTTGCTCATCGTAAATAACACCAGGATACCCCAGAGAGCCAGCAACAAAATAGAAACTAAAAATCTGCTACACCTGGAGACCTGTAGCCGTGATCATGCTATCTTAACATGGAGTTTTTTTAAGAAAACCATGACATGGATTTTGTTGCTCATCGTAAATAACACCAGGACACCCCAGAGAGCCAGCAACAAAATAGAAACTGAAAATCTGCTACACCTGGAGACCTGTAGCCGTATCCATGCTATCTTAACATGCAGTTTTTTTAAGAAAACCATGACATGGATTTTGTTGCTGGGCAACAAAATAGAAACTAAAAATCTGCTACACCTGGAAACCTGTAGCCGACTACAAGTGTTCATGCTAACTTAATGTGCACTTTTTTTAACAAGACGGCGGCATGGACTTTGTTGCTAAATGCAAATAACATCAGGACAGATTTTTAGTTTCTATTTTGTTGCTGGCTCTCTGGGGTGTCTTGATGTTATTTGCAACTAGCAACAAAATCCATGCCGCCGTCTTGTTAAAAAAAAAGTGCACGTTAAAATAGCATGAACACTTGTAGTTGGCTACAGGTTTCCAGGTGTAGCAGATTTTTAGTTTCTATTTTGTTGCTGGCTCTCTGGGGTGTTCTGATGTTATTTGCGTCCAGCAACAAAATCTATGTCATCGTTTTCATAAAAAATGTACATGTTAAGATAGCATGAACACGGCTACAGGTCTCCAGGTGTAGCAGATTTTTAGTTTCTATTTTGTTGCTGGCTCTCTAGGGTGTCCTGGTGTTATTTACGATGAGCAACAAAATCCATGCCACTGTCTTGTTAAAAAAAGTGCACATTAACTTAGTATGAACACTTGTAGTCAGCTACAGGTTTCCAGGTGTAGCAGATTTTTAGTTTCTATTTTGTTGCAGACTCTCTGGGATGGCTTGGTCCTATTTACGATGAGCAACAAAATCCATGCCCCCGTCGTGTTAAAAAAAGTGCACATTAAGTTAGCATGAACACTTGTAGTCAGCTACAGGTCTCCAGGTGTAGCAGATTTTTAGTTTCTATTTTGTTGCTGGCTCTCTAGGGTGTCCTGGTGTTATTTACGATGAGCAACAAAATCCATGCCACTGTCTTGT